GGAGTCGAAGGGAAGTGTAGGTGATAAATATTTAGCCCCCATTCGTTCACTTCAATGATTGAAGGGTTGGTTTTTCGTACCGTGTGGTACCCTATTCCATACACTTTCGCTTCTGCAATGAATGCGGATTGGGGATTCGGAGAACTTTAGATAATGGAGTCAATAAATCTCGGGGGTTTGATACTCAAAGATCGTGGCAGAAGGATAAGGGATCGTGGGTGACATATGGCGAATGAGGTTTGGGAGACCGGCTGACAATCCCTCTGGGAGAAGCTCGGTCTATCCACAATAATGAGAGTATTATAAAAGCGGGGAATTTGGGAAGCCCGCCTGAAAATGGGTTTATCCTGAAGTTGTGTACGGGAGAAAGAGAAGAAGGTTTGATCCGGTAGCCGGGCATCGCATCGACGACCCGAGTTTCTTAATTCCATCCAGTGGGCTCCGTGATGATTTCTACAGGTACCAGTTTTGAGGGTATTATAAAACGCAACCATGTGAAGATCCCCGATTTCCAAGAATGTCCAAACCGTCTCATCGTGCCTTGAACACACTGCAGTTGTGTTCATCATCCAAGCGAACGAGAACAAGTTTCATGCTTCGAGCTTGGTACCCCCGGCGAAATGGGTGTTGCTAACGGTTTTGATGGGTTTCGTCTGGCAGCTCGGCCATGGTAGAGGGCAAGCCGTGTACATTGATTGGAATCCCAGCTTGCCTGGTGAACCCAAAATCCGACCTCCACCTCCACCTTAAAAACAGAAGAAATTATCCAGATTTAATCGGATCTATACACTGTCAGTGTACTACAAGAATATTGAAAGGGACCCGATCCTACCCGGTCTCGAACCTTGGCGTCAACTTCTACGAGGGACGAACGTGGTTCTCTAGTTTTGAGCTCCCGAAAACACTCCCTTTGTGACAAAGATATTAATCAAAGCTCGGTATTAGGGTGGGACGGATCCAATAAGCCACTATCGTACCCTATGTCACTACCCAACGAACTTTGGCTAGATATTATACGTCTTGCCCTTCGTCCTGACGAGATAATCGATGGCAAATTCGATCCTCACCAGATTGATCAAGCGGTTCGATTACTTGCTATGGATACACTCAATAACCACGATGGAATGAGGCTGAAAGCAAGACGTCGCAGAGACCTTGGACTCGTATGTCGTACATGGAAGGCCTTGGTCAATGTAGTACCAGGTGATGATTGGATACTCGCAAGCTCCGTATACGATAATGTCCGCAACCCTATCAAGCTAATGAACTCTGCGGGAGATCGCATCCTGGGTTGGATGAATTCATCGCGGGTGCCTATTTCGACCAAAGGGTTCGACAAAGCCAAACTGACCTATTTGTCAAGGAGTGGCCATGATGTTCAGATATTATATACACACCCTATCACCAATCTCACCATCACAATGTCGAGTATTGGCGCGGGTACCCAACTGACATCGCTGTCAAGCATCATATCGTTTCCGGAGGAGCTACAAGTTTTGCATTTAGGGATGGGGAGTATCACAGGCCCCAATATTCTCTTTTCCTACCTGGAAACGTACACTCTCAACCTCACCACTCTGAGTTTGGACATCCCTACACGAGGTGTTCTCCCTGTGAATCTTACCATAATATCTCTCAGATCTTTATTCATCTCCTTCTCTAAAAGCAGTCTCCACCTGTGGTTCGAATGCTTCGAGTGGAAATTTCCACTCCTACAAAACTTATCTCTTGAC